CATTTAGCGTTCGTTTAGCATTTATCTTAAGGTATATCTTCAGGGGTGTCAAACTCAAAAGGGGGCCAAAATTAAAACCTTTTTCAAACTAAGGGCCAATTTCAGAAACTACATTAATTCAAATCAGATACCCAACATCCTTTCTTGGTCACAGGTTCCTCAACAAGAGTTTAATTGGTCTCATTTGATGTTCTCTGTTGTACTTTCGACATCATAATAAACGATTACTGGAAAAAATTCAAGAGATAGAAGTATTTTACGTCTCGCCTATCATCTTGGAGGCCAGATAAGATGTCAACGAGGGCCACATTTGGCCCCCGGGCCTTGAGTTTGACACATATGTCTTATATCCTTATATACTGTTTCTTTTTACATTGTATATTTTTTCTATTTTTGGGTGTAACTGGGACCTTGAGTACACAATTTTGTTCCACCTCATGTACCACATGTGATGCGAATGACAGTAAAGATACTTGAACTGGAACAATAGTTAAAAACAACTAAAATAGTACTGTGGTGTCCTGAAGCATTACTTTTGTTGGAGAACATTTTCTTTAGTTTAAATATGCATGTACAAAAAGGCAATATGAGATTCATCAACGTATATTTTTTAATTTTTATATAGTTGGTCCAAGGAACACATCAGTTTTTGTCACTCCATCAGCAGAGATAAACCCTGGAGGAAACATCACCTTGACCTGCAGCAGCTTTGCAAACCCCCTGGTGAAGAATTATACCTGGTTTCACATGAACAAGAATAATATTACTGCTGTCGCAGACAAGCTGGAATATTTTATTATGGAAGTTCGTCCGGGGGATTATGGGCAGTACTTTTGCACTGCTACCAACAAACATGGGAGTCAGAACTCCTCTGTTGTCACGCTAAGGGTCAAAGGTAAATACATTTTTACAGTAATTAAATCCTGATTCTCAGTGGGTGAAACATTTTAATCATTCCTTTTGCTGTAGATGTAAAGTTTGTGCCGTAGATCTACTTTTTTCCCTATCAATGAGCGGCTTGACTAATAACAAATGTTTGATTTTATTCATAAATTTTTATTTGAATTGATAAATCTTAAAAAAAAAACATATTCAACTTAACTTAATCAAGTATAGCACACAAGTTATTATGACTTTAGTGATAAAGAAATTACTTACCTTATGTTTGTTTAAATTATAATAATAATACAGGATTAGAACAGAGCAGTTATTGCATTTAAATGTACAAATTTAACGTCTTGACATGTTTAAAGATGCAAATGAAATGACAGTTTTGTTGTTTGAATTCACATTTTAAAAAGAAATAAAATAGATGCTCTAATTGGACTAATTTGAAACTATTTTTTTCATTTTCTCTCCAGAGGTTACGTCAGCATTTAAGAAACATATACTCATCCTTGTTGCTTTTGTCACAACACTTCTGTCAGCGGGCATTTTACTGTCCATCCGAAGGCAAGCAGTACTCAGACAATAAAACGTTAATGCGCCGCTCACATAAATGACCTTAAAAAGCCTGGTTATCTCTTTTAGATTCTACAAGAAAAAGCCCAAACCACCTGAAACTAACTATGAGGTGGACACACAGGTATGACTATAAATACTGCCTAAAGCGTAACCATATATATATTTTTAGTAATATACAGAAAGACGCTCCATATTGCGAGATTGAGCTGATTTCTAGGAAAAAAGCAAGCAAACTCCAGATTATCTTGTAAACTGGACTCCAAATAAAATGTTTTTGTTCCTCAGGACCTACACTGAGATGATTCTTAATCCAACTTGTGTTCTGTTTCTGATTAGAATCCCATCTACATGAACTGGATGAGCAAAGACCAAGCACAAGAGGAACAACATGATGAACTCATTTATGCATCTGTTACTATCAAGAGAAAACCCGACATGTGGGATAGTTTTTCAAAGCTTTTAACTATTTCTCATTTAAGCTGCATCAAAGTCTCATCAACTGCATCCCCTGCAGGGTGAAGAAGATGGACTCGCCTGATGATGATGATGATGAATGTGTGATTTACAGCACAGTTTGCAGGTAACGTTCAACGAGTGTCTGTTTTATTAATAACTCTTTGCTTAAGGCAGCTTTAGAGCAAACACCTTGTTTTTAATCTTTTTTCAGAAATTAGCTGCTGATCCCGCCATGAGGCAGCTTCAGTCTGAGCGATGGCTGCTCGCTCTAAAGCTTTTAGAAAGATCCTTCTTTTAATTCAAACCTTAAACTTTAAATGGCTTTATATGGCAAGGCTCAACGAGGCTAACCTGTATAAATAAATACGTGTCGTAAAATGCCTCGCTTCTGTGATTTGTAACAGCAGACAGTAAGAAACTGTATTAACCCATAAATGTTGAGTGTTGAACAACAAAACACGTCTGCATTCTCAAGAAGATTTAAGCGTCACGTTGGGGAGGGAAAAACGTGCTTTTTAAAGATACTGAAACTGTTTTTTTGACTTTTGATCCTCAGAGCTTTCTAGTCCCAGATGATTTATTTTTTTTAAACATTTTTTTAAGATCCTGAAAAAACAGTTCATTCAATCTACTTGGATGTCTGCAATTCTAAAATTGGACAGCACAAGAAAAGACAAAAAACACAGATCAGTACAGAAGAGACGAGGTTGTTGCGCATTTGCTCAGTGTGAAACATGCTCTTGACTAATTGTGAAATCAAATTTAATCTTCGCTTTCACTTATATTCTTTTCCCGTGCGACTTTTATTTGTTTTCTAAAAGCAGCCTCACTTGCAGATTACAGTATTGGCCAAACCATTTCTGATTAATTAATTGTTTTCTACACGAAGCTGTAAAAACTGAACTCTGGAAATCTCTGTACACCAAACAGTATGTGTGCTTTTTAACGTTTCACATATTAAGATTTATATTTACACTCTACAATAAACCTTTGCATCACATGACTGTTATTTTATTTCTTCTATAGTGAAAGACGAGTTTCTTTATCCTAAAATCTCTGTCTGGATGATTTCAGTTCAGGTTATCGTGGCAACATGTCTGCACTAAAGACTGAAAGTGGACTTATCATGTTGAAACACCAACCCTGGTGTTTCTGGAAGATAACCAGGACTTTAACAATGACCATCCAATGCACTGTACATGTAGTGTCACACATAGAACTAAATCTGGGCCCATTCTGCCCTCTGCTGAAGATTTAGGACCAGCACACGAGTTCTCATTTACTGTCGTTTGCTTTGTCATGAGAAATCTGAAGAGGTTGGGTGGGTTAGGACAGCCAGAAAGAGGTTTAACTACAAGATAAAAAGTCTTCCAATAGGGCTGGCCAGACAGTTTGTATAAAAATAAACACCCTAAATTTGAGCTTTACTAAGAAATTGCAGAAAAAAAGTCCTTTAAAGCCACATTATTGTTTTAATTAGCTTTGCAACTCATCTGTTTTGTTGCCTCTTCTTGTCAGTTTGCAGTTATTTCGCAGCGGAAGCCCACATGCAGCTTCCAAGTATCAATGTTTTTATTGAAGGGTTTGTGGTTCAGTGATTTAGTTCAGATTCTAATAAGGTTAGACGGGCTCTTCTTTGTTGAAATGTTTTATTTTTTGGATAAAAGACTAAATGTTTCAACAAAGAGGAATCCGCCCAGAGGATCTGGATGACTGAGCATGCCTCAGGACATTTAGTTCGGATTGTTTTCACTTTTGTTTCTGTCATAATTGCACTCTCATCTTCGGGGAATTCCTTAATCCATGTTGTGCACAGTAGTTTCAGGTTGTTCGACAACAGACGAGCAGCAAAATTAATCGGTTCAATAAAAAATTAATTCCAAACTGTGTCATGCTACTCGTCTTAAGCGTTATCCATTTGGAAAAACAAAACAAAAAAACTATTTTGATGTGCAGTTAACTCTTGTGTGGAGAATCTATCTGTGCAACATTTCTGTTTTTCAGACAATACTCCTTTTTGACTTTTTTTTTTTTTTTTTTGTGTGTCATTCGGGTACCCAGGCTTATCTCGGTATATGAGACACACATATTTTCTCTGCAAGGTACAACAATTGCAGCCTTCAGTAAAGCACATTAGAGGTGCTTTCATGGTGTGGGCCTGCGTTTCAGCCAGCTGTGCTAGAAACAAAAGCAGAAAACTACCATAAACATTTTCAATCTACTTCATCAGAGTCAGAGTTTCTTTATTGTCATTCGCACCTCATGTGGTACATGTGGTGGAGCGAAATTATGTACACAAGGTCCCAGTTACATCCAACAATAAAATGTAAAAGAAAAACGTTAATAACATCTAAGATATGAACTAAGAAAAACATCAACTAAATATACATGCTACCAAACTGAAAACATCTCTTTATTCCTGCATGACAGTGTTTAACAAAAATACTCAAACAAAAACTATTTTTACCTTCTGTAGTAAATTAAAAGATATAAGGCACTCATAGCTAATTTCCTGCCCGCATGTAAAGAAATAAGGGTTGCACACTGCTCGAAAATGATCAAAAAAGCTGCATTTTATCTAAAGGCTTGAAGCTAACTAATGCCACTTGAATCTATGATATTTATTTGTGCTGCTGAATATCCATGCTGCTTATTTCTTGCATTTAAGCTGCTATATCACATCTGCTCACAACAGACTCATGTTCAGGCTGCTGTTTAATATACTGTATTATTTTACACTATAGCGTATATCTTACGTCCTTGTATAGTTTCTTTTTATACTTTATATTCTTTTATTTTGCTATTTTTGGGTATAACTGGGACCTTGGGTACACACTTTCGTTCCACCTCATGTACCACATGTGATGCGAATGACAATAAAGATACTCGAAAAATTTTGCTCAATGTTAATCTTACCTAAATATTTATTTTTACGCCTTATTTTTGTATTTCATCTAGACAGTAACTGTAATCTTGCTTTAAATGGAACAATAAAGAAAAACACTTGTTATGAACCAAACCCACTCTGACATGATTCATGCTTATTTCTGATAAAACGAAACTTTAGGAAAGGCGGAAATGAAAACGGCCCAAATGCGACGTCGCACCATCTTCTGTGGCGCGAAGAGACGGACAGCAGCAGAGATGATTTGTAGTTCTTGCTGAACGCAACAGGACTATTTATTTCTGGTAAGTGCCGATAAAAAGGTCGTTTATGTTACAATAACGCCGGATGTAGGAATATCAGTGTACGTTTTGAAACGAAGCCCATTAGTGGGGAAGACTGACCTATGAGCGAGACACGACACGCGTGAGTAAGTGCGGGATACGTGCGGTCGTGTGGCGTGTTTTGCTTCACGCCTATGCTAGTTTGATTCAATGCGCGAGACGAATTAAAGTTAGCTGCGCAGTTCAATACAGTCTGAGCGCGAGCTAGTTAGCATAGTCGCTGCTTAGATTTAGCAACGATTTGTACACGACTTTGAGCTTTCACTGTAAACGGATTGCGTGTATTGTCAAAATAATGTTTGCAATCATAAACTCGTTGTTTGTGAGGTTTTTTTTTTGTAAAAAATAAATAAAATAAGGAAGTGACTTGAAACAGCTCTTTTGCGACACAGATACGTGATTGGCTAAACCGTTTAGCCAAAGATCGTTTTCTGACAAGGTGAGTCACTCGTGCGCGAAAAACACAACTGTACCAACAAAATCCATGCTCAATAATCCAGGTATACAATCCAACATTTTTCAGTCAGGTCATCTGGACAGTTTCTTTATTTTGTGCTGAAACGTTTCGCCTTCGGTCCAGAAGGCTTCATCAGTCAAGGAAACTCACAACAAAACTGATTCTTCCCCCAAACAGCTTACTCCAATGTGGAACAAACCAGTTCTGCTTGTGATAAGATGGTCTCTTTGGTACGCCCCCTCCTCCATTGCCGGGCCTCTTCCTTGTTGACAGTCTTGTCAAACTGGTTGAAAACAACAAAGTCCATGCTCAATAATCCAGGTATACAATCCAACATTTTTCAGTCAGGCCATCAATGACCTGACTGCACAAAAAAAAAAAAGAAAATAGAAACTGTCCAGATGACCTGACTGAAAACTGTTGGATAGCTGTACCAAGTTTTCCCTCAATTAATATTTATATATTTAAACTCTTCAATATCTGCACAATTGTGATACATCTCTCAGATAAGTAAATGAAAAATACATGAATAAAAAGTGAAATCCACACATTGATAGTTTAATTGTTTTTATTAGGCGATATTTAAGCATTAATTTTAATATTGTATTTGGAAAATATTCACCAAAAATATTGTTACCCATACTTTTCCTTTTGTTTTGGTCACATAAACTACCAAGTACTGATCTTTTCAGTACATCAAACAACAAAAATACAAAAACATGTTTTACCAAAAAAAAAACCCTCACAAGTACTGTGATTGTAGACATTGTTGTCTCAAATTGATACCAAGTACATAATACTACAATGTTTTTGAAAAGAAAAGTTACCGTAGTTGTATCTTTTAGCAGTTTAGGTAAAAAAAAATAAAAAAAAAATCAATTCACAGTGATGACACCACATTTTCAAATCTATCATGAGTTTACCAAATATAGAAAACACATTTTACAAGCCTTCTCTCCCTTTTTTCATTAAAATAATATATATATAATATATAATATATATAATCCTATTTAAAACTAATATTAAAACAGCTTTGGACTACTATTTGAATATTCCAGTGGGTAAACTTCTTGTCCTTTTGTGTGTAAACAGTTATCTTCTAACTGCCATGTTGCTGAGAAAGGAAACTGAAACCAAACACAAGTTTTTACAACAAATGTTTTTTTAGAAACTCCTGATCAGCAGTTTGAATCGTAAGGACAATGTAATTTCTTACTTTTTTGATGAACTGATTCAGGTTTGCTGTAAAAGCTCTCACTTTTTTCCCCTTTTCTTGCTGCGGATGTTATTTGGCGAGTGGGCGTAAAGGCTCACTAACATTATTGCAGACTTGTTTTTGTTATTGTAACAAAGAACTTGAAGGTCATTGTATTGGGTAAGTTTGTCCAAAGTTCGACCGACCTTGTGATTCTTGCAGTGCTGATCACAAGACCACTACTTGCAAAAGTGAAAGTGAGCCGTTTCACTGTGAAGCATGAACATAAAAATAATTTTGTTTTTTTTGTAGAGCTCTCTGAAGCCTGAAGATGGAGTGCCCAAGTTGTGGTCATAATATTTCAGAAAAAGGAGCCAAATTTTGCAGTAATTGTGGCCAAAAGCTTTCTGCTCAACCGGCAAACACACAGGGTAAGTTGACGAGCTCAAATGTTCTGTATAATATTGTAAATTTACTTTCAGAGCTTGAATAAATATTTAAATATATTGTGCTGTATTATATCTGTTTACTTCATTTTATTAACCGTTAAATGTATGTGATTAGTTATTAATTTGAATGTCATGTTGTATGTAGTTAAATAATGTTTATCTAAAACATAAAGCAAAATATCACAGGATCTGCATGAAAGCAAAGTGATTAATGGGAGGTGTATTTGTTACAAAATACTTCTTCCACTTCTGTAACAGAACAAAAAAAACCTCTCAAAAAATGGCTTAAGTAGTAGTTGTGTCGATCACTGATTAAAGCAGCACTTCCGTGTTTTCTGGTTTCACTTTTGCATTCAGAGCAATTGTTTTGAAGTAAACCCCATCTTGACACATTTTTTCTGAGGTTACAGTGAAGGACGGTGTTTTCAGCACCTGTACAGAAAAGCAGAGTCACTTCATACACAAGCACAGCTGCGGTGTATCAAAGCAAAACTAATTCAACAATAAAAATGAGCAGACAGATCCACATTTTATTTTGTCATGATTGTATTCTGTAATGTGAAGACTGCTTATAAAATAAAACAGGATACAGTTCAAAGGAATGCTTGAAGACTATAGTATTTACTGACAGCAGTCTTCTAGAAAAGTTATTTAAAGTGTCACAATGGTTTTATATTCCTGTGTCTTCTAGTTTATTGTTTTAAATTGCATGGGTTTAATTCAGATGCAGAAAATCAGCCTAAATCTTTGGTAGCAGAGTCGGAAAGAAGACCAGACGAACCCGAGTCTCCGCAAAATGTTCAACTTTCAGAAAACAAGTCCAACATATCTTCTAAACGACTGAATGATGAACAACCCAACCCGAAGAAAAAGGTGAGTGTGGCTGTTTTGCCCTGATCATCTCTAATGTCAGATGAGTTTATCTGAATACGGCGTTGTTTCTACTTTAGATAAAAACTGTGATGGGATGCTGTGAAATGTTTCTATTGATACTGGAGAACACAGGACATTTCTGCTGTATCGGAGCTATTTTTTTATGTCACTTGTGTGATATAATTTTACAGTTTACAGAACAATTACACACATAGAAAACATCTCTCATTTTAGACTTTTAAGTAAACATTTCCAGAAACGGGGAGCGTGAAGATAATTAGAGGGAGAGACTAATCTCCAAAACAATGTACCATAATTTCTGGACTATTGAGAACACCTGAATATAAACTGTGCCCACTAAAAAATAATAATAATTTAAGAGAGATGTGTATCGGGCAGCTATGTGAGCACCTGGGTGTGGCGAGGCTAAATGTTCTGGTGGCATGAAGCTCGGTAGCCCGTCAAAAACACAAACAAACAAACAAAAAAACTTAAATTTGCTGCATTTTATAAACTGCATGTGAAAAAAGTAGCAGTTTATAGTCCGGAAATTATGGTAATTGGGTCTAAATCACAATTTAGTCCCAAAATAACCACAAAGTGAAGTCATCACCTCTCTAACCGATCATTTTAGGTAGGTTTAGACCTGGATTATTTCAGATTTGGCAACTTTAACGTCAAAAATTGCTTACAAGTTGGGACAATACTTCCTGGTTGGACCAAAGTCTTGCCTTATTTACATTATTTGTATTACCGGTATTATTTGCACAGTTTGGCTTACATTAAATGCAAAGTAGTTTATCCACCAGAAAGACCAACAAAATTTGAGCTCAAGCTGCAGAATTGCAACTTTTTTTTCTGAAGCTTTTTGTCATGGACTCACCAATGTGCAGTCTCGAAAATGATCGTATAGTAGGGCTGGGCGATATGGACCTAAATGAATATCTCAATATTTTAAGATAAATCGCAATATACGATATATATCTTGATATATATTTTTTTCCATAAAGTAATAACAAAAATATATTTCTGAGTCAAAGCTTTGTCCCAGTTGTCACATAGGCACATTTATTAACATTTACAACTGTACAAAATAAATTTCTAAAAAAATCAACTATTTATATATACTTCAACATTTTTTTTAGGCATTTATTTACATACACAAGTCCAAGTTTCAACAACAACATTTTAGCATCCTCTGCTCAGTCACCTCTGTCAGAGACTGCAGGAACACTCCCAGAACTGAGCCAGCTCTCTTGATGAGTTTATCAAGTCTGTTGGCATCAGCTTTCTTCACCCTGCTGCCCCAGCACACCACGCTAAACTGGATATTTGTCTCCATATTTTTTAATGAGAAGATAACTTTATACATTGCCACTCAAATAGTTAATTTCCTGGAGAACACCAAACCTCTGCTTTTTTTTAACCTCAATTTACAGTCATTTTAACACATATCAGGATTTTACAGTGCTCTCCCACTGTGAGTCAACAAAGATATCTGCATATCTAAGCTCAGTTTTGTAATTCAGATGGAGTCTTCAGGTGCTGCAAGCCGTGGGGGAGAAGCGGGTTTGTAGTGAGGGAAAAGAAGGGGTGCAATGAAGGTGCAGACTAGGAGGAAAAACTGGCAGATTAGAGTATAAGATTACATCGTTTTATATCAATATAATCTCATATCATGAATTAAATTATATCAATATTTAAAAATTATTATTATTTTTAATATCGATATATCGCCCAGCCCTAAGTAGAGCTAATGCCTTTACTATGGGTGCATTCACACCAGCCCTGTTTAATCTGCTTTAATTGAACTCTAGCTCGTTTTCTTAAAAAGTCCGGTTTGTTTGGGGAGCTGTGAACGCGCCATCGAACTTTGTCACGGAACAAAAAGGCAAACTCTGGCCCAGGCTAAAACCTAGGTCTCGGTCTGGTAGAAGAGAACTCCAGCGCGGTTCGAGTGCAGTGTGAATGTAAACGGACCAGGCCCCGCTCCACAAGCAAGAAGTGGAGTACAGCGCAGGGCAATCCAACACGCATTTCTCTGACCTTATATGGAGCCGTCAGCTGCCTTGTGTGAAAAACAATATTCTCCGTGGTCTTCTGACTCATCTTCTGCTCATGCTGAGTCCATTTTATAAAACTTACAAAATATATCTCCTAAAACTGCTAAAACTTGATGCCACTCCGTTTTTGTTTTTATTTCCTGAAGAAGAAGAAGAAGTGTCTTCAGAGGTATTTGCGTTGTTTCTTTCAGTAGTTCTTGGTGCAGCGCCCCCACAGGCGAGCGGGGGAATAGGTTGGTTCAACAGGTTGACTCGACTGCACAGTGCAGTGTGAATGCAAACGCACCAGCTCAAATGTAAACAAAATGTTATGAAAATTGGTCCCCAACCGAACCGAGTCTACCGGACTATCTGGTGTGAAAACAACCTATGTCTGGATTAAGATCATTCAGATCTGACTCAATAAATAAACAAGTCTGAATAGAAGATACTGCTTTTAATGTCATAAAAAAAAAATTCTGCTGCTGAGTTTGCAACAGGCTCGTCATGACACTGACATGTCTGGATAGGAAACCAAATGAAAGCTGCAACACTTATGGGTTTCCAGTGTTGAGTCATGTTGGGGGGGAACATATATGTTAATTTTAAGAAGAACACACAAATGAACAGACTTGACTTTCATTCATGTGTACAAAAATGTTTTCAACCTTAGACATTTTGGTTTGGAAATGAACTTTGTGGATAAGCTGTGAAAATCATCAAAGTCAAGTATTTATGTTGCTGTAGCACAATTTGTGAATTTACACAAGTCGATATGAAATTACAGTCAAAGTTTCGGAGAATTATATGAATGATAAGCAAAATTGTTTAGCACTTGTTCAGGTTTTCAGACATCTGAAGTGCTCATCTGTAACTTTATTCTGCTATCACATTTGTGCGTTTTGCCAAATATGTGTTTTTATGTCTTTAAAGAAAAAAAAGAGAAAGAAGGGCAAAAAGAAGAAAGAGGCCCAGGCGTCATCTGATCCAGATCAAAGCCTGTCTGACCGGTCTCTCGTTTCTCTGGGAGACAACCAAGGGAAGAAGAAACATAACAGAGGAGACGCCACAGACAGTGAAAGCTCTGACGACATTGCGAAAGATGCACCAGACTCACTCCAAGAGGATTTCCACTCACTTGAATCACAGCCTAGTTCATTAACTGATACAGCTGCCTCCTCTGAAAACACTCAGGTCACACAGAGTAAAAAGCCTGCATCCATAGAAGATGCCACTACAGCAGGTCGGTCCAAGGAGGACACGGTTAAGGCTAAAGAGGGGGAGAGTGATGCACAGACGTCAGCTCAGGATCAAACACCCAACGCAGGAGCAGCTGATGCTCCAGCTCAACCTCCCACCTCAAAGACTAAGAAGACCTCTCAGTTGGGTTCAGCAGAGCAGACCAAACTGGCTGATGGGAAGGACAAACAAACGACTAGTAAAAAATACCAAAAGGACAAAAAAGAATCTGCCAACGCCGCACAATCTCCTCTGAATCTGAATGCTGATTTAAGTCAAAATACAAAACAGACTGGAGAACTGAAACTGAATGAAAAAGACCAGAACAATCAGAAACGGAAGGACACAAAGGACAGTCAGAAACAGAAGGAGACAAAGGACATTCAGAAACCGGAGAG